TGTTATGGAAAGAATGAGTCATCTTCTTGAAAAATCTCAGAATTAACCAAACTGCATAACTGTTAGATCAGAACAGGATGTCTTAACATTTGTTATGACATCGGAATTCCTGTTTACTGATTTTGGTAGAGGGAATAAATGTGATCATTTTGCAAAATGCTCAAATACACACTCATAAACAGCAGCACCTGTATGCCATTATTTTTCTGCAAAGGTACCTAATAAACCAGTACCTAATAAACCAGAATGTTATGACATCAGTCATGATATTCACACACCTGGTTTTACCAAAAATACATGCCAATAACTAAACACCTACAACAAGCTTAGGGTGACCCTATTCTGTTTCACAAACGGAATTTGTTTTGATTCACCACCAGTCGGGTCTTAGGTATTTCCCATTCCCCCAGTGAAGTTGTTGTTTTCTCTTGCCCTTGCAGGCCCTTGGTTATTTTACCCATGTTTGATTTTCCATTAGAGTGCGAGTAAGAGTCGGTATATAGATTTCTTACTTCTCAAGTATTTGAGTATTCGTACTTGGTGTATGGTAATTCAGATAATTGCCACTCTTGAAGAATTACACCCCGCCTTTGGCCTGAGGGATTTTGTAGTTCTTGCGTATTCGCAACTCTTAAATCCCAACGTATGTTGGCAATCCTTGTTTAGAGTCTTTACAGTTGGTCTCTCTTTTCTAATCACAAGTCCTCCTTCGGACGACGTTCTGTTTGGGTTCAATACATATGTGAATTCCCAATAAGTTCTTTTCCCTTAAATCCGTCTTCGGTTGGTATCCTTGTCAGAGTACCCTTCAAATGATTTATTTCTCCTGTAAGGTTCGTCTTCGCCCGACATTATCTTTTCTTCGGTAATTTCACCTTCGCCCGGTGTCTTTCCATTTTAGGTTCACCTTCGCCCGGTGTCCCTTTTTGTTGGTTAATGTTCGTCTTCACCCGACGTTCTCTTTTCTTAGGTAAGTTCACCTTCGCCCAGTGTCTTTCCATTTTAGGTTCACCTTCGCCCGGTGTCCCTTTTTGTTGCTTAAGGTTCGTCTTCACCCTACGTTCTCTTTTCTTCGGTAAGTTCACCTTCGTCCGGTGTCTTTCCATTTTAGGTTCACCTTCGCCCGGTGTCCCTTTTTGTTGGTTAAGGTTCGTCTTCATCCGACGTTCTCTTTTCTTTGGTAAGTTCACCTTCGCCTGGTGTCTTTCCATTTTAGGTTCACCTTCGCCCGGTGTCCCTTTTTGTTGGTTAAGTTTCGTCTTCGTCTGACGTTCTCTTTTCTTTGATAAGTTCACCTTCCCCTGGTGTATTTCCATTTTAGGTCCACCTTCACTCGGTGTCCCTTCTTGTTGGTTAAGGTTCGTCTTTTCCCGACGTTCTCTTTTCTTCGGTAAGTTCACCTTCGTTCGGTGTCTTTCCATTCTAGGTCCACCTTCACCCGGTGTCCCTTTTTGTTGGTTAAGGTTTGTCTTCGTCCGACGTTCTCTTTTCTTTGTTAAGTTCACCTTTGCACGGTGTCTTTCCATTTTAGGTTCACCTTCACCTGGTGTCCCTTTTTGTTGGTTAAGGTTCGTCTTCGCTCGACGTTCTATTTTCTTCGGTAAGTTCACCTTTGCCCGGTGTCTTTCCATTTTAGGTTCACCTTCGTCCGATGTCCCTTTTTGTTGGTTAAGATTCATGTTCGCCCGAAGTTCTCTTTTCTTCGGTAAGTTCACCTTCGCCCGGTGTCTTTCCATTTTAGGTTCACCTTCGCCCGCTGTCCCTTTTTGTTGGTTAAGGTTCGTCTTCGCCCGACGTTCTCTTTTCTTCGGTAAGTTCACCTTCTCCCGGTGTATTTCCATTTTAGGTTAATCTTCGCCCGGTGTCCCTTTTTGTTGGTTAAGGTTCATCTTTGCCCGACGTTCTCTTTTCTTCGGTAAGTTCACCTTCGCACGGTTTCTTTCTATTTTAGGTCCACCTTCACCCGGTGTCCCTTCTTGTTGGTTAAGGTTGTCTTCGCCCGACGTACTCTTTTCTTCGGTAATTTCACCTTCGCCCGATGTCTTTCCATTCTAGGTCCACCTTCACCCGATGTCCTTTCTTGTTGGCTAAGGATCATATTCACCCGACGTTTTCTCTTCTCCAGAATTCACCTTCGCCTGGTGTATTTCTGTCTTAGGTTTACTTTCTACCGATATCCCTTTTTGTTGGTAAAGTCTGCCTTCGATCGGTGTTCTATCCAGAGTTAATGTATATTTGTATCCCTAGTAAGTTCGCCTTCGACTGGCGTCCCTTCGTTAGAGCCTTCTTTGGTCGGTATCTATCTTGTGTATGTCTAACCTTGACCCGACATCCAAGAGATTTACTCAGCTAACTATCGCAATAAACAAAAAAAATAGAAAATACATTAAACCAAAAAATATAATAATACCTGACTGGCTTTGGATCGTAAATTTTCGGGTTTTTTTAGTATTTAATCTTCTTCCACCTTGAAAGTTTGAAAGGCTGGCGCCAATCTCACCTTCAGGTTTAAGACGATTAAATAGGGGCAGCTGTTGCATCCCAAAATTTTCCCTCCTAATTTCTTTCATCTGGCTTAGACTTTTGCATTCATCTGCATATATTTCATTAAGTCATTAGCGTAACATGCATTTCATTCAATAAAAGCACCTAAGGTGCAAAAGTTCAGTGGTTGTGTAATATAAGGGTTTTACACCGGTTAAGGCGTTCGTATCCAATAAAGGCTGATTTCTTCTTCAAGCATTGAGAAATAGAATTAGGGTTGTGGTTTGTGATCATTAAGAATCTCTTCTTCGCAAATCTATAAGGCCAATCTCCATCCAGTTTCATCAGTTCTAGAGATTAGGGTTTATTTCCCTATGTATCTCGTGGAATCAGGGTTTTATCACATGAACGTCTTTCTATGCTCCCATTTTCATCTGAGTCAAAGGATTCCCTCAAGGGCATTCGTGTGTGTTGAGGTCATTAGTTTGCAGGTTACTTGTTGAGCGAGGCTTGAAGATAAAGTCATTTGAAATTTAAAGTTCAAATTATAGCTTGAGAAATGGGCTTGTGATTTCTTTGAGCTAAAACAATTTGCGTTGCTTGATTTGGACATGTTCGTTGAGAAATGAAGTGGGTTTCAAGACTAATCGAATGTCATCAATAATTTTGGTCATTAAATTGTCAAAAAGGTCAATTCAAGAAGATTGGAAAGCAAAGGCGTGTGGATTGTTTGGAGTTGAAGTTACAAGTCACAAAGTTCAACATACATCATTGATTCATTCACAATTCATCACCGTTGTTCAAATTTTGCATATCATTCGTCATTTATGTCATTTAAGTTCAACATATCAACATTCATTATTCAATATTCATTCAAAGGTTCATGATCATCCAACCATAATTTTTCTAAGCATCATGCAAAGATTTTCAAGCAATTCATCTCAAATTTACAAATCCATATTCATTCCAATTCTATCACAAATTACATTCCAATTTCTATCCATTACAAAATTACAAAATTGAGAACTAGAACACGTGCACTTTCAATCATATTCTAAAGTCCATTGCATGGTACATTGCTACAAGGTTCAATTGTAATAATATTAAATACATCACAATACTCAAAATTTGCAATTTATCCTACATCTTCAATTTGTTTCCTCTTAAAAACAATATCTTTGTGCCCTAGCTCTTGTCATAACCAAGCTACAACTTTGCTTGTGCGCTTTCAAAATGATTCATGTCCACAATTCAAGCTATGCCATGTCCTTGCTCATACGTTCATCCAATTAGCCATATTAACACCTTGTATTCATGCTAACATCAACGTGATCATGACCTGCACATTAACACAAAGAACATATGCAATTAACCTTTAACCAAAACTAGTTCAACATCAAAACAACCCTTCGTCTAACTATGACCCAAACCATTCATTAAAACCAGTTCAGCCTGCGCCAACTATCCAAAAATCCAATCAATGCATTTAAACAGTGTAGCAAATTCAGTTTAAAATGCCTACAAATCAACATATAACACATTACAAAAATCCACACATGAAAACTTATAGCTCAAAATTATGTACATAAAACCAATTCATAAAAGTAGAAGATAACATAATGCCCTAACTAACTATCCATTATCCAACTAATTGTCATGACAGTTTCTAGCTCACTAACAGAATGCCAGAAAAATAACTTCCTCTTTAGCAAAATTTTTATAACTAGCATTCTAACTTCTCACCCTCTCCATTCGTTTCTTCTCTAACAAAACTTCAAACTCCAACTGTTTTTTTCTTCTAAACACTCCTAACTGATTTCATAACAAACACTAACGAACTATCCTAATCTAACTTCCCAGATTTCTAACTATTTCTTAACGGCAGCAACAAAATTATAAAAATAGAAAAAAACTCACCTTTGATCCGGACTCCAATTCTGAAAAGCATCACAAAAAACTCTCTCTTCACTCTCATCTTCCTTCTTCTTTATCTGCAGTCTTTATCCCTTTCACTAACATCTTGATCCATCTTTGAAACCTCTGCACTTTCTCTTCTCACTTTACCCGTAACAACCACACTTCGTCATCCTCCTCGCGTCTCCATCACCATAACCAAATCTTTAAATGAATCGCCATCAACCTTTGAATTAATCTTCAATCATCTCCTGCGTATCAATAAACTACATATCTTCATCCTCGAACGTTTCTCAATAACATCAATAGTCGATCTCTATCGCATCTTCATCTTTGACGTCAACGTTCTTTAAGTTCAATCTGCAACAAATCACACGCAGGGCTTCAACGTCAATACAACCTTACAATTCACAAGCAGAAGGAAACAAAAAACAAAATGCATAAGAAGAAAGATCCAGACGCGTGGAAGCAGAAATCAGAGAAGTGAATATCGAACAGAAAACCTAAAAAATCTACCTTTGAAATCATCATATTCTCAAGCCGAAGGAGTGCCGAACTCTCTTCGAAAGGTAAGCGATGTAAAATTACTTGTCTCTTCAATTTTATGTATCTTGATATGGATCTGAATCACGCGGGGACTTAAGCGAATCAGAGGTTAAAGATGAGGCTCGACGGAACCGCGTTTGCCGTAAGATCGAAAATGAAGCTTGATGGTGAACCATGAACAAAGCGAATCTTTGAGGGAGAATCGAAATGGAGCGGAAACAGGCGGAAGCACGTGGTTGGGAAGACTGAGAATCGTCGAAAGAGATGACGTTCGCGGCATATTTTGTTGAGAAGGAAAGGAAGAAATTTCTTTGTGAAACTGAATCGTCCCTTTTCTGAACCTTAAAGCACAACAAAACGCGGTCGTTTAGGAGTTTTCTCATGTTTTTATTATTTGATTTTCTGTTTTTTTAGATAATCATAATAATGAGATAAGGCTGGAGTTGTTTTTAGCTTAGTGTTTGTATATGCTCAACAGGCCTAGCTTTTTTTTGGTGATATGGGTGCCCATGAATAAAACCTGACTCTGGACATTGTTGTATGGGCCTAGCACGTGAAATTCTGGACCATACCCCCTGACTTCATCATAACACCCCTTTGATTTTAATTTTCTCCTTAAATTTCCATGATATTTTTTCCTTATTTTTTGTTTTAGAATTGATGATAAAAAGTAATAAAATCAAATATAAAAATTTGTTAGATTATTTTTATTTGGTTTTAGGAATTAAATTCCGATTATCCGATTACTTGAGATTTTAATTCACCTTTGTTTTTTGAGGTTTGAGTCTTATGCAGGATATGCGAATATGTTTGAGTTTCCGATTGTGATTTATTTTCACATCGATAATGTTTCGACGCTTATTCCAGGCATTTGATTTCTGACTCTTTTCTCTGATTGGTGAAGCTTTCGCGAAGATCGTCAGGTTTCTTTGTTTTGATACGCTTTACTATATATTGATATCCGTTTGGTATTTTCTCTTGTTTATCTCATTTCGCACTTTACTGCTTTCTATATATCATGAGAAGTAGGAAATAAAGAGTGTGCGCTCGAAGTCGTTATTTAAAGACCTGTAACAGACATTACGCACTTCATTTGCTATATGTGTTGTTCTTGTGTTTGTTTCCTTGGTTGTTGATCGATGAGTCACTCAATTTAGAAATTGAGATCACGACTTCTCTCTCAGTGCATACTCCCTATAGGATTTTCTCGCTTTCCTTGATTTCTTGTTGATCGACGAGTCACTCAATTTAGAAATTGAGATCACGACTTCGCTCTCATGGCATGTTCCCCGTAGGTTAGTTTTTGTTAGGCTTTCTTTGGTATGCTAGCCTAGATAGGATATCTCTAGGTGTGTTCTCTTGAGTTTATTGGCTTGCTTGCTTGATTTCGTCTTTGTGTGTATCTTTTGAGATGATATACCCTTAGCATGTTTCTTTAGGAGCTCTTGATTCATCTATAGATGATGATTTGAGATGAACATAGTTTTAGGTGATAAACCCTTATTGTGCTCCTTTAGGACTTCTTGATTCATCTATAGATGATGAGTTGAGATAGAAATTAGGATTATTATCCAAGCATGTCAACTTAGAGTAGATATTTCCCTTCAAAGCTCAATCATAGGACCACCATTGTATGATAACATTAGGGATAAATTTAGGCTAGTCTCCCTTTATACTTTTCTTTCCCCTTTTGCATTTGCATTAAAACAAAAACTTCTTTTTCTTACAAACTTCAAAACACTTAAAAATTACTGATGAGAGTCATACATTTGTTGAGCATGGGAAATGATAAGCGGGTTTACTCTCGATCTTATCGTCCTTCCATTCTAAGCCTTGGTGTGGTTCAGGTCTCAAAGACTTATTTCATGAATAAGTAGAAAAATGACCAATGTCTCTCTCTTGAGATTAACTAGTTGTTATCTGCAGCAAAAACACCAACCAACATAAACTCTTTTGCCTTCGGGCTTTTCTTTCAAAAACCATTTTCAGTAAGGACATGATTAATTCACTTATATGCTGACGCATAAGTCTCTAAAGGTCGAGTTATGGCAGAAGGCGAAATTAATATTGTTCATTAAAAAATATAAACCAACAAAAATATTTGAAGCCGAACTACAACTGCTCTGATTCCTTAAAAGGGATACATAGGTGTTAGGGTAGGGCCGAACGAGCACCACTTTTATTTTTCCCTATATTATTTTCTCTTTCTTTTGCATGCACCTTGTACAGCTTAGATATAGATTCTTACACACTCTATGATTAGATCAACAAGAATGAATATCGTAGAGTACTACGGGCGTGTGGGGTGCTAATACCTTCCCCTTGCGTAACAGACTCCCTTACTCGATCTCTCGGTCGTTTGGTCGTGATTTCACCCTTCTCAGGTTTACTCGATGTTTACCTTTCCCCTTTTGTGGGATAAAAAAACATTCGATGGCGACTTCATTAATTTCATTATCAGTTGATTGTTCACCCGGTTGTTTCAATAGGGATTCGAAGCGAGATCCCTCGTAGTTATATTACCTCGGTTTTTCAAAAAACTGAGGGAGTAGGTTTACTTTTTTTGGATAAAATATGGTGCTCATTTGTAGCCATATTCCTTCGGTTTTAAAGAAAACCGAGGAAAAAGCTTGTTTATTTTAAATAAAAATAAATAAAACATGACGTTCCCAGGATCTATACTCTTATTTTTTTATTGTTCGAGATGTAAGTTTCGTCATAAAAAATATTACTTATTGTAGTGTAAGACAGAAATGTCAAGGTATAATTTTGATTTGCCACATCCATTGCTTTACACATTGGTACATCATAACTTATCTTCCAAAAGGAATGCCTTGTCAAGGGAACATATCACCTCAAGCGAGGATGCTTCCTTGCTTCATTGGACATGGAGTTAAACTACTAGCTTTCGAGTTTACTGCAACTTACAGATTAACCTATTCTTTTGGGATCTCCACTTCTATGTCCTAATAGTAAAGGTGGCAACATGTGGCTTCTTCTTATTTGGCTTCACAAGCACCACTTATTATTTTTTGGACCATTGCACGATGATTTCTTTTTTGAGAATTTCTCTTTACACTTAATAGTGGTGATTTTAACCATTGGAAACTCAAAAATACCCTTCGAATATGCACTTCTGAATTTGGGATATTGGATTATTTCATATATGCATATCCGAAGAAACTCCTATTTTTCATTTTCAGAGAGATTTCAAATATGCATACCCAACTAACCCAATGTCCCGAATTTCTTTTAATTTTATTTTGAAAACACATTTATTTATAATATAGTTATAATATAATTAAATTGAATTATTATTAATAATGAATAACTTAAATTTATAATTGAAAATTAAATATTAAAGTAAATTTATGATATGAAATTAAATAATGAATGCAATAATTAAATTTCTAATTATAATGGTGAAATGTAACAATTGATATATTTTAAAAATAAATAAAATATAATTAAATAATCTCGGTGTTTTAGACTTTGTGTTCCTTTGTCTCTCGCATTTACGCGATCTAACGTGTTTTAGACTTTGTGTTCCTTTGTCTCTCGCATTTACGCAATCTAACGTAAAAAACTCAGTTTTCTGAAAAATCAATTTTGAATTAAAATTTTACCATGTCAATTCATCGAAAAAAATCAAGGATTATTTCCGTTTATCTAAAAACCCTAAATTTCTTGTTTTTCTATTTTATTTGATTTATTTCCGTTTTTATATTTTCGAAAAAATCCAAAAAAATTTGTAGACACTTAATTTTATTTTATTTTATTTTTAATTATATTTTTAAATTTTTATAACAGAATAAAATTCGGAAATGTATATCTGAATTTTTTTTTTTGTAAAAAATAAGATTTATTCGGAGATATATATTTGAATCTACCTTATTTATTGTAAAATTCAGTTATGTATATCCGAAACCACTTTTTTCTATAAAAAATAAAATGTATTTAGATGTCTATATCTAAAACCACTTATTTAAAATATTATTGTAAAGGAAGGCAATGTGTATCTAAAGATGGAGAATTATTAATACTCTTTTTTCAGCTCTATAGCTAAAAATCTAAAATTTCTCTAAATTATATATATATATATATATATATATATATATATATATATATATATATATATATATATATATATATATATATAATTTAGAGAAATTTTAGATTTTTAGCTATAGAGCTGAAAAAAGAGTATTAATAATTCTCCATCTTTAGATACACATTGCCTTCCTTTACAATAATATTTTCCACATGATCCCTTCCTTTAGGAAGAGGTTCCTTGTCGATCTTGGGAAAAGTTAATTGTCCTTTAGTCAAAAATCCTATTCAATTTTTCTTTCTAGTGACAACCTAAGCATTTCTTGTTGTGTCAGGGTACTTGTTTTCTCTCAAACGAATGATCAACTCTTTTAGTGAGTCATTCATTCTTTGGAAGTTTCATGTACTTTTGGTCATTGTTGGTCAATATAAGTTATGGCCCTACCTTCTCTTACATTTATTGGATCCCATATTAGATTTGAGTATCCTAATTGAATTGCCAACATATGTAACATTTGTCTATTTTCCCTACCACCTGACCTAAACCCTGTTGTCTTACAAAATAATTTCGTGGCTATGTTTGGTTAGATTATTTGGATCACATGGTAATAATGTTATATGTATTAAAGTTATTATTTAATTAATCAAAATTGTAGTTATTTAATTAATAATAAATATGTGGTTAAAAGTAATATTATTAATATTATTGTATCAATATCTAATTCGATAAGAAGTTAAATTAAAATATTTAAAATTAAAAAATAATCTTAAGATTATTTATAGAGGTTATAATTTTCATTTGTAGACAATGACAATTTTTTTTCTCAGAAATTCTCTCTTCATCTTCGTCGGAAGAGAATCACCATAAAAAATTTTATAAATTGAAAGATCACATTCCCATAAGTTTTCGGTGATTCACACAAATTCATATATATTTTTGTTTTTATTCTTATAATTATATTCGGATAGATTTAAGAATTTTGTTATTAATTTCTATATTAATGAAAATTATAAAGCTTACAAATAGATGTAAAAAAAAATTTTTTGGCTATCCATCAACATTTTGGGATACACTGTTTGATTCAACTTTAGTTTTAATTTGATTTTTTTTTTCAGTGGTATAAACCATCGAATTGCATATAAGAGTATAACTTATGCCATTTATATATTCTTACGGCAAATGAAATTACGGAAAAACTGTTAATTAGCATGAAAAGCATAACGATATATGTTGGTTTATGTCTTTTGTTATGATAAGGCTATTTTTTGAATGTGCTGAATATTTGTGCCTATGCTTTATCATTGGAAGAAATTGTTAATTCTTCTCTATTGT